TACATAATATAACCCTGAGGAGAGAGTTCTCCTGATTCTCCTCTTTACACCTTGAAAAGCCACCACTGGCACATGCTGACAGGTGTGCCCAAGCAGCAGCACAGCATCAGACCTCTGCTTCCAATAGCCGTGAAGCAGCAACAGTAGCAAAGAAGAGAAGAGGACCATGCATGAGGACCAGGGCTGCTTGGATAAGGTGGATTGTTTTTCTCCGTGCAGTGATTGTAACTGGAAGCAATGACGCCTTAAACCAGGAACCTCTCCAAGGGTACATGGACCTAGAGTCAAAAAGGATAGTCTATTTAGGAGGGACCTTCTCTCTCACTGTTGTGATGGGGACTCAAGTCATTGGAATTGATATTCAAAAGTGATGACATGGGTTACAAATGTTAAAATTAGAGAGTACAGTTTGGCACAGTATATGGTCACTACTTTATAGACTAAACAAAAATCTACACAGAAAAAAAAGACTAGCAGAAATCCATCAGTATATTATAGTATTATATTTGTGTGCACTTTCTTCTTCCATCTACTTTTCTATTTAAAAATTGTTCTATAATCAATATGCATGATTTAAAATGAGAAAAATCTTAATTTTTGGAGTACAGCATACAATTTAAAAATCAGTACTTTAATGAGTAAATTATAGTTTTCTAAGAAGCAGTTAATCCTAAAACATTGATGACATTCACACCTATGCATTATGCATATCACAAAGGAAGCATTCTGAATGTAAAATAGGTATAATAGGAGAACTTGGATTGTATAATTACTTGTCAAATTCTGCATCATATATATATCTTATTCCACAACTAAAGCAGCATGCACATTTTTAATTAATCTCCTCAGAGAGCTTAGTACTGAGTCCCAAGCAAAATTTGATCATTTTAAAATAAACAGATTTTTAAAGTAAAGGTTTTATTGTGTTTTATGGAAATATCACTATATCAAAATGTCTTCCGTGGAATCTGATCAAGTGCTATTCTCTGCTGGACAATATTAGTTGACAAACTTTGCTGATAGCACATTTAAAGGGAATAGTTTAGTTGCAGTGCTGTTAACAGCTGAGATGCAAGCATATCATTAGATTATTTAATTTGAATATGGATTCAAATTATCCTACTTGTCATATTTAAGTATAGCATTGAG